TGAATGAAAGTTACCAGAAAGTCTGTAAACCAAATAAATTACATATACACATGCACCTTAGAGCCATTTAGTAGACATGCTAATGCAAAGGCATACTTTTTTTTCTTTGAATTCTTATTAAATAACCTTCAAACATCTAACAGACTCCACCACATCAGCCAAGCATTACTGGCAATGTAATTAAGCACATATGTTAAAAGAAGACACTTTATACCATTATCTAATTATCATAAGACACTATAATAACTTACTGAAAAAAAAGACATCAATTTAGACTTTTCAAAAGCTCATACTGGAACCAATTCTGATCAGATGTGACATGACACCTCCGCACCTGCAGAGGTCTGCACCAGCAAAGCTCTGCAATGCACAGCCCAGTAATGAATGGCAAGGGTTAATTCAATGCAAGCTTCACCTTATCCAGGATCCCATTCTTTGTTTCCAGGCAGAATACAGTGCAGATGTGAGAGCAGTCACACTGCACATGCATGAACGCTTTCTAGCACGGTGTCCCACCTTAAGCTGGGGCTGTATAGGAGCTTTTCATTGCGTGCTAGAGATTTAACTCCTGGTTGACTACTGCTTCATTTGAGATCAATGCACCGCACATGCAGAAACTGTAAACTAGGAGTTAATGCACTAACAAGCGAACAAAATCGCACGTGTAGCGCCAGAGACCGACTTCTGTAAAACCAATAAGCGGGTTTCAGTGTTGAAGTGATGGATGACACTGACAGATAGGAGTTTATCTGTACATACACTCACATAAATTGATAAATGGCAGATAGATAGATAGATAGATAGATAGATAGATAGATAGATAGATAGATAGATAAGGATATGCACATGCATCTACGTAGACAGATAGATAGATATGCACATGCATCTACGTAGATAGACAGATAGATATGCAAATGCATCTACGTAGATAGACAGATAGATAGGATAGATAGATAGATAGATAGATATGCACATGCATCTACGTAGATAGACAGATATGCACATGCATCTACGTAGATAGACAGATATGCACATGCATCTACGTAGATAGACAGATATGCACATGCATCTACGTAGATAGACAGATATGCACATGCATCTACGTAGATAGATAGATATGCACATGCATCTACGTAGATAGATAGATAGATATGCACATGCACCTACGCACATGGATTGACCTACAGTATTATGTAGAAGCCATATGCGCATTTACTTCTACAGACAGAAGTTAGGTGGACTTGATACAAAATGAGGCTTCCAAATGATCAAAGATCACAATGCATTAAGTGTTATGAAACTCTTTTTTTTGTTTGTTTGTTTTTTATTTTGCAGATTAAAAAACAACAAAAAACATTTTTCTACTAGAACTATGAAATCCGCTCTGCTAATACTCAAACATGAACAAGCAAAGCAAACCAGTTTCTACCTCTCTTTTTCTATTCCCTGCCCCATAAAACGGGCAGAGGGGACATAAAAGAAGGCACGTGTGTGCAAGGTCCCTGTCAGGGTGAGACATTTTCCCAAACTGCGCAGTGAAATGTGAGGCTGCCTTTTTGGGTGGAAATGCAGACGAGCACTTCCCAAACGGCTGGGTTAGAAGCACGCTGCCCCGTGTCCATCTGCTAGGCTGCACACTGAGAAAGCTTCACGCGCACATGCAAGACTCTGAGACCTGGGAGAGCACGCCGAAGAAGGGATCAAAGAATCGCCTGCACCCCTCAAAATGTGGGCTGACGCCGTCCCAGACGGGTTCATCGGCTGGCACCGTGCTTGTCAGAAGAAAACCGGGGCTGGCTTACCTTATGCTTCTATGCTGATTGAGCAACCCCAGAAGACCCGATCCTCAGCTGCGGAATGCCATATGGAAAAAAGCAGAAGCAGCACTAAGCGAGACAGACAGAGTGCTGGGTGAGGCTTTAGCATGGGTGTATAATGAATGCCGCCATTTTAAAGCCTGGCTCTTGAAATCACTAGGCATAACGAAATTAAAGCACGCCCCACGTACATAACTTCATTGCTGGGACGTGCATCTGGGATGAAACTATGCAGCTGCGGGGTGTGAGATGTCAACTAGGCAGGCAGAAAACCTCATCCGAGGGAAGGAAACTAAACAGAAGGGGTCGCCTCGGTAACGGCGAGCGGGCGGATCAATTTTAATCTGTGGTTCCGTACGGCTAAGCTGTGCGGCTGTTAGAAAAAGCACTTTGCTGCAGCGAAATCTGCACAGACTTGTTATAAGCTATTTCCTGTCTCCCTCTGCTGCGCCGACTTGGTACAGTCCACAAAACACAGTACCTAATGGCCTTTGGGAGCTGTGTCGTATTCTGGAGCTCTGGCTGGCTGCTGCCATAGCAACATTGCTAAAACCTCCACGAGATCCGCACAATATATCCACCAGTAGAAGAAAAGGCGACTCAAAGCAATTAGTGCAAGCGTATTCGCTAGCTAATGTGAAACTTGCGGGCTGCACGTGCTACGGCGGCGTGTGAAGAATGACCCTGACAGCAGATGCATGCAGATATATGTACGCCAAAGGAGGAGAAGCAACAGCAAGAGGTAACAACACAGGAAGAAAAGAATCTGTCGCTGAAATGACACAAGGTCCTGGCCATGCAGGAATGGCCGTGAAGTCCTGCTGTGTCACCTTGTCCTCACTATTCCCCCCCCCCAGCAGCCAGCAAGCTGAGTAAATACTTTGGACAATGTGCACGACCTTTAGTGGCACAAAGTCTCTAATGTCCGGCGAGCTGGGGACGTTAACTCCTACATGTCACATTGTAGCACCAAGCAACCACCAACTGACTTTTCATATCCGGGATCCATAGGAAAGAAAATATGTTTTCACCAGGTTACTATCGGTTAATCATTAGGTTATTTCCAATCATAATACTACATTTATAAGGCTGTATTCATACCAGATGCGTTGGGATTGTGCTGTACGCTTTTTTCTAGCGCAGCCCCAACGCTAGATAAGACAATTTGCCTTGTCTGAAAGGGGCTCAGTTTACACCATCGCATTGCGGTGGCGTGCACTGAAAAAAAGTACAACATGCAGTTCTTTTTCTGTGCACAGAGGGCCATGCTGGGGTACAACCACATTACAGCGCAGTGGGCCCATAGAACCTAATAAAATGTCACTACAAAAAAAAAAGGTAAAGAATACGATGTTCGGGAATTGGCGCATCAGCACTATGCCCGATGACGCACACCAGCTGCCGTGCTTTGTAGCGCAGCTGCTGGTGTGAATAGACCCTAAAGCTGGCTGTACACCAGTAGAATTCCATTTGAAGACATTCATTTTCAGAACATTTGTTCGATTTTCTAATGGTTGATGGGGTTAAATCGATGATCAATTCTGACCGTAAGGAGGGTGGGTGAGGGGGAGGTTGTCTCATTTTTATTGAACAAACAAAATTCCAACAGTGAATGTGGTTTTTGTTTGGGAAACCCCAGTCATTACGAAATCAAATGTTAAAGGGAAATTCCACCAAAAGAAAAAAATTTGCATATATTCTTTTTTAGATAGGAGTCAGTAAAGCATTGTAGGTGCAATGTTCTGGCTCCTGCAGACTCTTCGTCCCATGCTCTTCCTTCCTTCCCTCCCATTCCGTTTCTTCCCATACCAAGGTACAGACATTTAGTAACATGGATGTGAGAAAGTGTCAATGGACTACAAGTGCGGTGTATTGCATCTGCTGCGGTGGCTGATAGGACATGTAGTTTCTGCTGGGTGGTGCTGGCAGGGTCACCCACAGCACAAATTTCAAGCAATGTATGGGCAGCTTTAGGGTCCTCATACATAGCTCTAAACAACAGATTGTCATATTGCTTGACTACAAACGGGCCATGCAAGGGTTAACAGAGCAAGAAGTCCTAAGGGTTCATAGTCCAGATTTTCAGAAATGTGTGGAGCTGCAAAGAAAGCCATTGTTTTCTATGTGCCCTGTTCACACTGTAACACTGCATTGCATAAAAATTTAGCATATCTGATTTTTATGCAGAGCAGCACATTTCACCGCAGCGTGTTCCAGTGCGCTTTGGTGCATATTGATAAATCAAATCTCATTTTGTGACATTTCAATAAAGTTAAAAAAACGTAAAGAGTGCAATGCATTGTAACAACGCATTGCACCAGCCCCCACACTGCACACCAGTGCACACATGTTATATGGTGTGAACACTAATGCGTTGTGGTGACATGCTTGGTAAAACACGTGTTTACCATGCATTACTGTAAAGCATGTCATTCATTTAGGATGGCACCCCTATCGGACAGTACAGTAGGTGTCAACAGACCTGCACTGCAGAACACAACGCATGCATACTGTACACTGTGGTTTGTGACGGACCCCCGTACTCAGGATGAGTATGTCCGCCGCTGTCTTCTTCCTTGCTGAGGAGATATTGGAACCCGCTGATCTGTAGCTCCCAGTTTCCCCAGTCACTAGCCAAGGCTTGAGTGTAGGTGAAACAAACTCTGATTTATTGAACAACTGCACAAACTTTTATACAGAAAGTGATCAGATCAGATTATAATCCCATCACATCCCCCGTCCCCTCCCTGGTCATTCTGTCTTCACAACACCACAGGGTTTCCCCTGCTAACGAGCTCCAGACAGCCATAGCAGGAGCCTGGCCAGAATGTCATTGTTCTGAGCTCCTTCAGAGAACAATGGGAGATAACGAGGGATGGTGCTGATACTCTTTGCATAACCAAGTCCCTCAGTGTAACGCGCTCAAACATAACTCAACACCAATACACATTTAACTTATAAACTGATCACCATGTCGTCACATGGTTCACTGCACTAAAGTGCAGATTTGATTTTTGTACCATTACTGTACAATGACAGTTCATTCAAAATGAACAGGTGTAAAATAAAGTGCAGGTAAACGTAATGACATTTAAAGGGTTACTCATTAAGCTGCCGGAGACAGCCAAGTGAATAACCGAGCCGTAGTGAAGTGAGCCGAACAACGTGAAGTGAGCCGAACATCCGCTGAAATCAGCCGTACATCGGCTGGCTTCGGCTGCACTTCGGTCAGCCGAACATGGTGTGCATGTTCGGCTGAGCCGAAGTGCAGAGGGACTTCGACTCAGCCGATCCAACATCTGGATCGGCTGAGCCGAAGCTCCGGCAGCTCACTTGCTGCCATTCGCCCCTATTCTCATAGGGTCCGAACGGCAGTGAGTGAATAGCCGAATGCCTCTCGGCTATTCTCCTCGGTACCTCCGTGGTACTGAGCAGAATTTTTTTTTAAAGTTATAAAAAAGATTTAAAAAATGTAAATAAATGTAAAATCTAAAAAAAGAAATAAAGATTAAAAAAAAAACAAAAACAGAAACAATTGAGCGCAGCTAGCTGGGACCTGTTTCCAACTGTTTCCTATTGGCCGGCACCTTCTAGAGTCTGTTTGGGTGTTTTTAAATTTACTCTGTAACTTTTTGTATTTTTTTAATTTTAACTTCATGAGTTGCATGGTGTCGCTGGTGATAGCCGGCGCTTTTCAAATGCTGATTGCTGGAAAACCAGAGTGTAGACATAAGTTAAACATGGTGCTGTGCATTTATTAAGGTACATGTGTTGTATGGCTGTTTGATGTTCATTAAGAAATAGCCGGGTGAACTTCCACTTTAAGGGAATTTTTCATAGATTTGCCTCTAGTTATCTGCAGAACTCAAGAGAGAGGAGCTAAGAACACAGGGGACCCCTAAAGCCTGGCAAGCTTTTCTTACTTGCAGGAATCCACTGCATTGCAATTATTGGCATTAAAATGCTAAAAAAAAATACACAGACACATGCGTGTTTAACCAAAGCATATTAATGGCAATAAAGTATCATTTCTATTAATTACACTTACATGGAATATCAGATGTGATTGTTTTGCAAGGCGTGAAAAATGGCGTAATGCATATTTAATGGCCTTCTGACAGCATTCATTAATCTGCTTCCTATTTTCAGCATGAGCCAGCCTGACTTCATAATGGAGACATGGACAAGGCTGCACTGGATGAACACAGAGCTAGCCAGAAGACTGTGTAAATAAATTATTCTCTGACCTGTGGACACATTTTCTTTCATGGGATGCTTATCTATTCCAGGTAAAAAAAAAATCAAAGCTACACAGAGCTGTAGAGGGTTATAATAGCTGAATGCACAGTGTAATGTGGGTAAAGAAACATATCCAGTGCTTATGGTGTCAGCCTCGTGTCTTAACACTACACTTTGCTTTCCTCGGGGACAGGGAGCAGCCTGGGAGGGCAATTTAAATGAGCTGCAGTGCTTAGCTGCATTGGATACTGCAGTCCACTGCTAGTCTAATGCAGCGCAAAGTGACACAAGTGATCACTTTACCAAGGAGGTGTATTATGGCATCTTTCTGTGCTCTATGTCAATGGGAACTCAGTGGGCTTTAAGCATTTTTTGTCTGAGGTAATTTGTTGCATTTGTTGAGGGTTGGTCCTGGTTCATGTGTGGTGGCTACTGAAAGTGAAAGTCAACGTGATTAACGTGTTTCAGTGTTCGGCATGGATACTTTTGACGGGAATACTCCTACATCCAAATCAAAGCTTGACATATTGTTGGCCTAACCTACTGTGGTCCACTTGACATAGAAGTGGGATGTGTGCCTAGAAGACTGTGCTGCCTAGTAAATTACTCAGAAGTCAGGAATTAGGTTGTTATTAGTAATTAAAATTGCACCTACTGTGAAATACTTTTTGTACTTGTTGCTAAAATAGAGTTCAGAACCAAGTGAATGTCAGAAAAAGCATACAAGCATTTCAGGCCTAATGCCTAACCCCCCAAAACCCCCAGTTCTCCCTCCTGCCCACTAGAGCCCCTCTGATGTCAGAGCCAGTATCTCCATGAATGTATGTGAGTGTAGAGTGATGCATGGTGCTGTGGTGACTCCTCTGGGTGTCCTTCAACCTGGAAATTTGAGGACATCCAGTGGCTGAAAGAATGAATGCAGGAGGCAGTGTTAAAGAGGAAGAAAGCATTGCAGCCAGAGCTGCTTCTTATGTTATAAAGGCAAAGGCAAAAATATTCGGGGGTGACAGAAACAAGCTCCATAGAAAGCAATGGGCAAATCATTGATATATTTAATGATTCCCCCTCTCCA